CTGGCACAGAAGATTTATGTGAGAGACAAGACAAATATCCAGGGACGAGGCTGGCTGTCCAGGCACCGGGGACTAGAAATGTTTCAGGGTGGTGTGTGCAGGACAACGTAAGGGCTGATGACAGATGAAGCCAGTTAAACTCAATCTGAAATGTATTCTCCTGGAGGCCAAGAAAAAAATGAGCTAATACTACCAAAAATATCATGCTTAACAACTTTAATGGTTAGTGCACTAATTATAGCCTCTCCTTTTAACTTTTAAGTCTTTTTGTTTTCAGATTCAGAAACTTCACAAACAAAATATTTTAAAATCTAAACTTAATACTGCTTTAGGCAAGCCCTACAAGCCCACTGCTGTGAATTTTTTTGGAGGCTCTTGAGAGTAGAATGCTAAATAGCACATCCTACATAACACAGGATAAATCACATTTTGAGTCACTTGTTAAATCCATTTCAAAAGAACAATGAGCTGTGCATTCTAGCGCTCACGAGACATGCTTATTTGTTAATGTCTATGGTACTTTTACCCACATTTTAGGAACAAGTGTACCATGTAAAATGTTGAAGTTATTTTTAAAGACAGTAACAGTTCCCTGTAGAACCAAGCACTCCAATGTCAAACAACCATCTTCTTCAGCAGCAATCAATAAGCCAATGTGTTAAGTTAATACCATCTCTTATAGACTGAGTGTACCTGTTTTGCATAAGGTTCTAACATGTAACAGCAATAATTCTAAAGACACCATGGCCAGTCATTTGCCAAACTGCCATATTTCAGCATAAGTCCTCGAATCCGTGTTAGCCACAGGAGCTGCTCTGTGTAACGAATGCGACCCCTGAGGCTGTTTCCCTCAGTGCCGGTACAGAGCTTCAGCAGCAGTAGCTCCCACCTCACTTCACAACCTGCAAAGCACACAGCCTTCCAACATGATAAAGACTTGCTTTTTCTAAAAACTGTCTGAATTTTGACACCATGAGTCCCTTGCTTAATTGGTTCTGACACAGGGAAAATAGGTGAACCTACTAGCAGTTTACTGCGGTTCCACTCAGGTGTCCAAAGTGACCTCTGCTATCCCAGCTTCACCTATTTGTATGGTGGTGAAGAGACGGCTCTGACATCCCAAACATCCTATGTGTTGCTGGTTTCTAATGCATACAAACACCCACAATGTACAGGTGGGTCATCCATTTACGATTTTCATGAATCCCTGGTTCACAGCAAACATCACCTTGCCTTCAAGAAATCCAAGGGTGTGTACAGGAATGACGCATTTAAGAGATTGACTGACACCCACTGTAGCAAACCTACCGACTTCCATGCTATATGCTACATGCAAGTGGACTTCATAACATTCTACGTTTACCACAGTAGACATCTCATTATGACCAGGTTGGTCTTCTCATGAAAAAGAATCACACAGTGCAAAAAATGACTTCTTTGAGGAGTGATCCGTCTACTCTAGGTGACAAGAAGGTGCCACTCATCCAAAACCAGCAGCAGGTCAATGTCAGCCAGAGAGGCAGGGGTGGCCAACAGGGGTTGCAGTCCCTCTCCAGGGTGCTGTGTCTGCATCCCCATGTGTCTCCCCAGGCCCGACCTGGAGGAGCTAAAACCAAAGGAGCTGCACAAAAGCCTGGAAAGAAGCCAGTGCCTCGGCCCTTCCTCCAGGTCCCGGAAGGCCTGGGTCCCTAGTAGGAAAGAGAAAGATGGGAGTTTAACACGGATACCAGCTAAACTGTCCACAGCTCCGAGTGTCATTAAGCTTACCGAGCAATAGGACAGGAGTGCTCCAAGGTGATGGGGACCTGCAGGGTGACTGGAGGGCAGAGGAGGCTTTGAGAGGTGCCAGGCATCATAGCTCCACAGGTTCATTCTGCCAGGCACAGCACCCATTCCTCCCTCCCCCTCAGACGTATGTCAGCATTTGTCAGAATCAGTGATGATAGCACAGTAACTGAAAGTCAACTAACTACCCGATGATGGCCTCCTGAGCAAAAGGGAAGGGGAGACTTGAAAAAAGAAATCACAGCTGGAGTCGGCGGTGACGAAAAATAAAACAATCAGAAATATTAAACTTGGAGTAAATGGCAGGATTTTGACCGTGATTTCTGCCAGTTTGACTGATACAAAGCAAAACCCGTGTGGAAATTTTACCAGTCTTGGAAATACTTTGTTTGGCATTTGAGTCATTCCTGGACTTATTTAATGCATGATATTATCATTAGAATTTTGCTTCTGTAAAAGATGTGCAGGTTTGTAGAGAAGAATTTAGAGCTGTAGAAATACAAAGTTTGAGAAAACAAAGTAGTAATAAACATAAAGAATATGTGTGAAATATAAACGTAGGAAGGATGAAACAAGAACAGACAAAGCTGAAATGCTGGTGTCTGACACAGACAATGCAAGATGACACTATTGGGGAAACTTAGTGCACGATCCCAGTCTATTTGCAAATAATTACCACATGCTACAGTTAGTTCCTGAAGCTTCCTATAGACCTGTCATACTTTCTGAACACCCTGAGAGTTACCTGTAAACATATCTGATTAAATATAGAAAAATAACAATAGGTAAGGAAGCAAAAGCTGCAGCACAAATGGAATGGGGCTTTAAAGAATTACCTATGGGGAAAAGCAAAATTCATCATTATATAATGGTACTTCACTGAACTGCTTCAGCTCTCTCAAGCAGAACAGAAAAGAAATTCTCAAAGAAAAATCTCTAGGTGACAACATACATGCCACAAAGTGCATGCACTCAAACTCGGAGATGGACCTGCAGGAAAATGGCTTTGGGCCTCAGTCAGAGCTTGCTAAGCACAGGACCCATTCCATCACTGTGATTACCCGTTTGCTAATAAAAGAGCTTTGATGCTGCTGCCTCAGAAGGGTGGGACTGGGCGTTGACAAACCATGCCCAGTCCCCCCGCTCTGAGGTGGCAGGAAGGGAAAGCTGGTGCTGAAAATCCAAGCACAACACACAGGTCAAAGGCATACCCAGCAGACCACGGTCCCCCAAGTACATGGCCCCATCCCACACAAGCCTTGGGGAGCAGCACATACACACTGCTGATGCTCACAAGATGACCCTGGCATATTGGTCAAGGGAAGTGGGAGAAGAAGAAGCACATGTCAGCTATGGGTAAATTAAGGTCACTCACCAACGTCACAAGGTAGAAGAGTGCTAATTATTCCCCCAGCAATTTCTGACTCCTTATGCTACAACTCAGAAGCACTACCCCACAACTTAGTATTTCATGGTAGACATTCTCACCTGACATCCATGCCTATTGATATTAGTATTTCCGCACAGACATACAGGAAGTTTACAGGCAAGAGCCCTTCCCAGTTATCAGTGTTATCTTTTACCTCTTCAGATATACCTGGAGACACTTGTCTTATGTGCCAGGCTGCAGGGTTAAGAAGGAAGGACCGAGGTTGTGCCTGCATGGTGCAGGTGGCTGAATGCTGGAGCAACTGCGTGCCTAGCATGCCTGAGGCCCTGGGTTTGAGTCCCAGCTCTGGAAAAAAGGGAAGAAGAACAAGAAGAAAGAAGAGAAGGAAGGGAAAAGGATAAAAATAGCAAATGATATTAGGGCACGTTACAACGATTCTTACAGACAGGTGTCAAGAGCTTCAGCCCTACAGCAGACCAAAAAGCAGGAACCAGCAATGGGCAAATGACACTGATCCCTAAATGTGAATCGTGTCCACTGGAGAGCAGTGTGCCTAGCACTGGCTATGGCGGAGCCTCAGTCATCGGTTTCCATTCGGAACACCAAGTTATCACCAAAGCTGAACAAGTCTAGGAGTTTAGTCAAATAAATAACCCAGAAGGTTTGTATGCTGGGGACAAGACAGCACCGTGCTGAGGGGGACGAGCTCTTCTATTCAGGACGGATCAACCTGGTCATTTCCTACTTGGCACTTGGAAGACCTTTCACCAAACACTGCAGTGCACAAACGGACCCCATGGTATTTTTCCCGCATTGCCCTAGGAGAGAGTTTAAACTTACAGAAAAAGATAACTGTCAAAACTGAAAGAGCCACAAGGCAATTAAAAATCAACCCTAACTCAGTAGGAGGGCAAGAAATACCCAAATAAGGAAATGAAAAAAATGTTACAACTTAAAGGGAAGACGAGGAGAAAGAAGCTGCCATTCGGGCCAATCTGGTCCCACTGCAGAGGGAATCTTCTTCAGGACCCACCTGTTATCCTCAAATCTTGGAACCTTGAAGCCACGTGAAAGGCAACCCCAGCACATGCAAAAGATAGCTCTATATTGCCCCCTAGTGCTGGCCAGTCCCACCTCTCCTTAAGCTAAAACCTCCAAGGTGCGTGGTTTCTCTACTCCACATCCGGGGCCAACCCTCCAAGAGCTAAACATAGCCCAATATTCTGCCCACAGATTAGGAAACAACCCAGCTATTTTTAGCATCCTTCATCTCAGGAATGGCAACAGAGTGTGTGTGGCCCGGCTTAATGAGCCCACCTCTTTGGAGGCTGTGAACTAGCTGCTAAAGTAGCCAGTGCCTGCAGGTTTTCTGAAAGCTCGGGGTCCACTGCAAAGCATGAGGGCATTGGGGTCACAGGGCGGAACAAGGAAAGGACAGAGTGGCCCAGTATCCAGGGAGACCTGGAGATGCCAGCACACAGCAGGGGGAGAGTGATAGGAAGCTGTTGACACGATCCGGAGAAGCTTGCCCCATAAGTTGCATTACTATGAACTGGACATTTATTTTACATGAAAAAGAACAAAGGTTAGTCTGATCCGCTCCCCGCCTGGGTACAGCTGGTGCTGCAGCTCCTTTGATCCCTTTCCCTATCCTGCGCAGGTCTTTCAATTAGAGAGAGATCTCTGTGCCGCCCTTTGATCAGCAGTCTGCAGGTGCCCTGTGCCACCCGGATGAGCAGTCGCCTTGACACCAGCTGACAAACGCGACGCTAGGTGCTGGCACACCAGCAACCGATGCCAATGATATCCCAGAAGCTTTGCTCACCTCTGTTCTGACAGTCCAGACTTTCTGTGTTTTCCTAATGATGAACAGTGCAGAGATTACATGTGGCACTGAGGGTCTTAAACACCTCCCTAGATGAAGAAAGGGTGTCTTGGAAACACTGCCCAAGTGCGCTGCCAGCATCTCACCTGATTCGTGAAGGGTCAACATCCTCGCGCGTAAACAGACGAAATGCAGAGCCAAAGCACATTTCTTTTCAAGTAAGAGGCACCACTTATAAACAGGGCGTTTAATATTCCAATTTTAGACCGCCTATGTTAACACTGTGGTTTCGTGCGCGGTATAAAATTTCTATTTACAAAGGATTCTCAAAAATGACTTCATAATGGCAGATCAAGAGGAAAAGAGTTTAGAACTTGAATGATGTAAATCATATGGGGTTCAGAGGCTAAGCAAATTACACACCCCGAAGCCTCCCTGCTTTTATGAAAGGAGCCTTTCTCCAGCTCCGTGCAGTCCCGGCCCAGGGGAACTTGCATCTGAGAGTTTTCTAAACATTTCAGGTACACTTGAAAGCTGAAAGTAATTCTCATTTCCTATGCGGGATTAAGTCGTTTCCAGCACACACAAAATAGCAGTCATTCACTAACACATACGAAAAACACACCACCAGAAGGGCGCCGGCCTCGGAGTACAAAGGCATGTCAAAAAAAAAAAAAAAAGTGCAAAAGAAATGCATTTTTAATCCCCCCAAAAGTCCACACAGATTCTTGACCTGTGAATTTCTCATCTGCTTATTAACTGACGCCTTTCCACCTAGAGAGTTTTAATGAATGCGGCGAATGCACTTTCCCACCACCAACACCCCCCAACCCCAAATAAAGAAAAACCCCTGCGCAAAGTCCAGCGTGCCCACTCATTCATTTTGGACGCCTTTTTCAGGGCAGCTCCTGCACTTCTGGCTCAGGGAGCGTCCGCTCCTCCCGCGCGGCCCGGTCCGTCCCGGGCGCCCCAAGGTAGCCGGAGTGGCGGGGGGCTGGGGCCTCGCCTGC